CCTGGTACCTCTCTCCAGGCTTAAACATTTAAGTTTCTAATTTAAATGGTTAGTTCTGGTTTGAGAGACATATTGTCAATAGATCCCTTCTCCACTGGGCTGTTGAAGGCCCCAAATGTAACCTACTAGCCTGAGATGCCATAATTGTATCCAGGTTATATGTGCTGTTGATTATTATTAGCATTATTAATAGTAATAATATTTTATTTTCTCTCCTCCCCCACGCCCCTTCTTCTGTATAGCTAACACACATGCAAATGTGGTAAGTAAGCCCAGAGAGAAGCAACTTTATCTTCCGCCTCTCTGGCTCATGGCTATGTTCCCCTGACAGTATGTTTCCATCTTTAAATCTAGCCCTCTTCCTATTTTGTCTTGCTGCCTCCTTAAAGAAGCAGCTGTCCCCAGTTCATTTCCTTGTCTGGATTTGACTTCCAAGGAAGATGGGACATTGCCCTTTTCCCTGATGCAGCACTTGAAAGTTACCAGTTCTTTTGAAATGACGGCATCTTCCCCAAGTTGGTACTTCATACCTATTACATTTATAAGGTACACACTGACCACAGTCAATCAGTTTTCTAATGTTTGCTGCACAGGCTACCTGTTGTAACTTACAGCCTTTTCTCCGATGGTATTTGAGTAAGAAAATATTTTATTAGTGTTGCTATCTCAACATCCAAGAAGCTAGGTGGTGGAGTGGATATTGTACAATATCTGAGTTCAAATGTGGGCTCAGACATTTACTAGATGTGCAACCCTGAGCAAGTCACTTAACTGCTATCTGCCTCAGTTTCCCCATCTAAAAATGGGGATTATAATATTACCTTGCAAAGTGGTTGTGAAGATTAAATGAAATATTTGTAAAGCAGTTAAAAGAGGCAACTAGGTGGCACAGTGGATAGAGCACTGGGCTTTGAATCAGGAAGACTCACCTTCCTGAGTTCAAATCTGGCCTCATCACTTAACCCCGTTTGTCTCCGTTTGCTCTGCTGTAAAATGAGCTAGAGAAAGATATGGCAAACCATTCCAGTACCTTTTCTAAGAAAACCCCAAATGGGGTCACAAAGAGTCAGACACAAGTGAAACAACTCAACAACAAAGCATTTACCATGGTGCCTAGCACATAGGAGAGGCCTAATAAACACTATTATCTGTAAAACTGTACCTACTAAAAGTTACAAATACTAATAAAAATGTGATTTCATCACAATGGAATAAGAATATTAGCAGGACTCCACTTGATCAAAATCCCCGATAATGATTTTTTTCCTAAAATACAAGCAATTCAAGAATAGTAGTTTTATAGAACCGTAATTTATCTTTGTCCTGCGTTTTAAAAATGTCATCATTCATTAGCTAACACTTGAGGGTCATCTATCCTGATTCTCCTTTTCTTCATTACATTTAAGGAAAAACAATTTAAAAACAATGGCACCAATTTTGTCCCAGTGTCTTTGGGCTGCTATCCCCATTAGTCTTTCTGACTGGCTCAACAATCTCTCATAATTTATGCAAACCATTCAAATGTAATGAGCCATTAAACACATTCTGATGTCTCTTCTAGTTAGACTGCAAGGCAGCCCTATAAAAACAGAATCTCAAAAGTTGTAAAACTTATATACCATGAAAAAAAAATGTGGTGGGGGTAGGAAGAGGAGGAGGGCTTTTCAATAAAACTTGAATAATCAAAGGATACTTAAGAAATACTTGCTTTCATCTCCTGAATATTTGTTTCATGTGTATCAGTCATGAATTAAGAGTTAGAGATAATGGCAGGAGAGTCCATGTGCTATACTGGTATATGTTCTATGTCAAGAGAACACAGGGAAAAAAACACATGTTGGATAGACCCCTGAATATAGGGGGAGGTTAGACCCTTGAATTTAGGTGGGGCAGTGCATGGAGAACTGGGCCCAGAGTCAGGCAGAACTGAGTTCAAGTGTGGCTTCAGATACTTGCTAGTTGTGTGACCCTGGGCAAGTTACTTAATCTCTGTTGGCCTCAGTTTCCTTATTTTATATGGAGGTGATAGTAGTACCTATCCCCCAGGGTTGTTGTGAGGATGAAATAAGATTGTACTTGCCAAGTGCTTTGCAAACCTTAAAATGCTCTATAAATGCTAGTTGTTATAGTTATTATAACTCATGGAAGAGTTGAAATCTGTACCAGCAGAGGAAATGCTTACAACATTGAGATCACAAATCTATTTTAATATTAGAGATCTAATTATTTGGAGGAATATGAATTACTAATGGGTGGGCCCAGTCAATACAATAAAAATGACCATATTATCTGATGGGTGTGAAGTCTGAGGGCTGCCTTCCTGGTCTGGGAACATCTCCAAGTTCCTCACTTGGGTTTCAGTGTGAGCAGCACAACTCTGGCCTTAACTCTTGTTGGAGTTCCAGGATACTGCTGCTGGATTCAGCCATTGCCAGCCAGGGGCATAGCTCAGCAGCTTCAGACTGACAGAGTGTCAGGCTACCTTTTGGTATGGACTTCCTGTCATGTTAGGTTTCAGACTACATTTGAGACTCCTCTCTGCTCTTGGGGTCAGCCACACAGCTGTTGTTTATTTCTTTACTTGTTCATATACTGCTCAGTATACTGCCTAGGGCCGAACATTATTCCTTGCCCTGGACTGTCCTATTATCCTGTCTTAACCCTCCTCCCCTGGCATATTCCCACTCCCCACAATCTGCACTCCTGGATCTCAGTAGTCAGTAATGAGTGACAGAACCTCCAGTTGGTATCTGTTCTTGCTCCCTACAGAAAGTCAAATCTTTTTGTGCCAGATCTGGGACTTTTTGCCCTGGTGCTCAACTCTGGATAGGCACTAATTCAGTCTTTATCTAAACAGACACCATCTTCTATGTATCTCCCCCTATGCTAACCTGGACTAGGAAAAAAAACCACTTTTTTTTTCTCTTGAGTTTCCCAATAAAGACTCTACTTGGTGTGTTTTCTAGGATTTTTTGGACTAGTTATAGGAGAGAGCTTGGCTGTATTATGTTATTTCATTCCATTCCACCATCTTGGCTGGTCCCTCATTAGAAAGTAATTTTAAAACTGACAGGGCCATGTGACCTCCTGACAGTGGTTAGAGAGTAGAACTTGGAACCTTGACCTATTTGAGTTTGAATTCCACTTCTGACACTGTGTACGGGAGAAAAAAATGGCTCTCTCAATGACTAAAGCAGTATATCCTTTCCAAAAAAACCCTAAAGAAAACTCTAACAACTTTTTAATGATTTCTTTGCTATTCTCTAGAACAATCTCTAATAGTAAGAGCTATGACTGTATTGTAGAATGGAAAATTAGCAGCAGACCAGCTGTTATGTAACAGTGCTTGAAATAACTGTGAGCCAAAGACAAGGAGCTAGCTAGAGGTCAAACAGTGTTTATTTTATAACAAGGACTTCAGTAGTGATATGTACACAGAATGCTTCATCAAGATGGGACATTTAGCTACCTCAATAGATTTAAAAGTCTTGATGACAAATCCTAGTGGAAGCCAACTCATCAGCATGTCTACTCAGTAGGGGAAGAATTCATTTTCCTTTCTCATGCTTAACAGGACCAAGTGATTAGCTTGTGGGGGGGGGGGGGGTGAGGAGGTTGGTCTTGGAGCTGCCATCCTTTGCAAACATCTATTTTGATAGCCTGTAGCTGCCCTTCTTCTACTGTGAGAAAACCCTGACTTTTTTGGCTAGAATATTCCCTTTCATAAAAACATATCACGTGTCACCTCCAAAAGGGACTGTGTTCTTACATTAGACTTAGGAATAGATAATGAAAGATACTTCCATCCACTTGGAAAAGAGGCCAGGTCAGTTTCCTCACCCCTAGATCTACAATCCTTCTATCATATGACTTTGAGTGAAAAATGTTGCAAGAATTGTCAGAGGTTTTTTCATTATTTGTTTTTGATTAACTGTCTTCCTTTGTTGCAAGGGAGGGTCCAGTTGTGGGGTAGGAATGGGAAACAGTATATCTAGAAATTTTTGTGGTATTAAAACAAAAGGAATCAATGAAACTTTTTATTTTTAATAAAAAGAAAAAAAATGTGTCAGTCCTTTGGATCCAGAGCATACGGCACCTGGAACCTATCATCTGAGTCACGTCAGTAGTGTGTTATCTACTGAAGACACTGGTGGTTACCCATCATCCCAGGCACTTCAGTACTCTGTCACCTACTGAGGACTCTTTGGTGGTCAGCCATCATCATAAAAGATGGCAACACCAGGCCAAAAAAGAGAAGCCCTAACTCTGTGGCCACTTTTCACAAGACTACATACATACAGATGCTGGGCCATCTCCAGTCGACCTGATCTATATCTAGCCACTGGATCCACATGGCTCTGGAGGAGAAAGTGAGGCTGGTGACTTTGTACAGCCTTCCCTCACTCAAATCAAAGTCAATTGCAAGTCATGTCATCATCTCCCTGATGTCATGGAACTCTTTGAAAATGAAGGACAAACACAAAAATAATAGTAACATTATCATGAGGCATGGTAAATGGTGCTATATTGCAAACCCTCACAAGAGACAGATTTTTCCAAGAAACCAAAATGAGGGGACTCATTTCTTTCCCCTTATGGATCATTTTTTCACCTGCTGAAAGTGAAGCTAAAGCTTGGGAGAACCCTGTTTTGTGGAGCTAGTTTGGCATAGGGGACAGAGAGTCAGAATCAGGAAAGCCTAAGTTCTAGTTGCACCTCTCAAGACCCCTGGGCAAGGCACTTTAGCCTCTTGTGTACCCACTTGCTTTCTCCATTAAGGGAGTTTCCTTTCTAGGAGTTGTCCACAAGAAGGAAATCATAGCAGGGAGGTGGGATAGGGAAGAGACATACAGGGTGTCCCCAAATTCTTAGGGCAGTTTTAAGCTTTGATTGTATGTGTATACATGTGTGGTTTTGCATATATTTATGTATGTGTACAATGTCTACATCTTGTCTGTCTCTACTGGGCATTTGTAACAAATTTTTCTCTTTTTACACAGGTGGATAAGTGGGGCAGCAGTGGTCAATGCTTTTTATTCTTCAGGCAGAAATCAGATCGGTAAGGCTCTTTCTCTGACCTACCAGATGGTTGCTTAACTGTCTGTGACTTTCTCCCATGCCTCTCGTACTCCATCCACAGACAGTTCAAAACAGAAACACTGATTATGCTTCTTGAACATGAATGCTACCCAGTGCTTTCTTTCCCTCCTGATGGTTCAGCTTTACAGTTGGGGAGGTATGGACTTGGGACTAACCTAGTGTTAGGAATGGTTTCCCCTGAAGCACATCAGCCTGTCTCCTGAAGCTCGTGGTCTTGAGCAATTCCCTGGGATGCAACCACTCCTCATCGTAGAGTCTTTGGGAATTAAATGGGGCATTGACTCAGCCAGCCAGTATGTGTGAGAGGGGAGATATGCCCATGCTTTCTTGACCCAAAGGTGAGCCCTTTATAACCTTTATACCATGGTGCTTATCAATGGCAAAATGAATGTTCATAGAATTATAGGGTCATTGATTTAGAACTAGAAGGGATTGTTAGAAGTCATCTCATCCAAATCCTTAATTTTACAGATAAGAAATTTTAGACCCAGGAAGTTATATGATTTGCCTTGGGTTAGTCAGGTTCCAAAGCCAGGATTTGAACCCATATCCTTCAAATCAACATCCAGTACCACATGTTCTCCTCTTCTAGGCTGGTAATACACATTAGTGCAAATCACTTTAAATAGCTCTTGTCCTTACAGGTGGTAGTTGAGATCATTGGCCTTAATTCTGAGTTTGTCTTTGTGGGGACATTCTCTTAATTGTGTCCATGAAGTTATATTAACTCTTAAGACCAACTCGATGTTAACTCAGAAGGGTCTCCAAACTTCCTTGAAGGGGTTTTTAAGTGGTTTCAAGTCCCAAGAGCCAACTTAACTGGCATTACAGCAAATTGGCCCCCTTTGAATACCAGGAGTTTACCCTGGTTGCGTTGGGCCAAGATCATCATTATTCCAGAAAACTCTCAAGATATCGAGAGAGTCACGAGGTCACTTAAAATATTGTACAAATGACAAGTACTACGTATTTGATGTATGAATGAATTAGTGAATTAATATCAGCCAGAGATTTGGGTCTTCTACCTGAACAGGTCTGAGGAGCTTGACCTAACCTTGTCAAGACAATCAATAACTGGAAAATCTTCCAGTAACCCAGGTCTAATCGGTTTACTTCCTGATCAGGAACCTCTGGGGCTCCCTAACACCAAAATAGAAACTCCTTAGCTGGATAGTTAAAGTCCTTTATGAGCAACCTACAGAATCATTTCCCATTGCTCCCCTTCATACACTCCACACTGGCCTGTTGGCTATTTGCCCAAGTTTTTCACCCCTATTGATTTACCTGTATGTCCCCCAGGCCTGGAATGCATCTCTTCCCTCTCATCTCCACTCCTGAGAGCTCCTTCAAGGTTTAATCCAAGGGCCACCTCGTCTAAGAAATCTTTTTCTCATGCCTCTACTTGTTAATATTCTCTGCCTTCTCAAAGAGTCATGTAGATACTTAACTGTTGTATATGTATATGAACAGCATTGTGAACTCATTGGTTCCAAATTCTAATTCAAAATTCTTTTTTTTTTCTTTTGGTAAGGCGATTAGGGTTAAGTGACTTGCCCAAAGTCTCACAGCTAATGAGTGTTATGTGTCTGAGGCCAGATTTGAACTCAAGTCCTCCTGACTCGTGGGCCGGTGCTCTATCCACTGAACCACTTAGCTACCCCTATAATTTGAAATTCTAAAAGAATTCAAGAAATCACTCACAGAACTTTGGGGAGGGGTGCACTTCAAGAAATGGTGTGGAAAGGCATGGACAAAGATTGTATAGGATGAAGTACCAGGGATTTGATATTATCTTTATCAGTGGAGAAAATACCCACACCAATGAGATCATAGATGCATTTGGGGATTCTGTGTTTTCAGTCATTTTTCAGTCATGTCCAATTCTTCATTACCCCACTTGGGGTTTTCTTGGCAAAGATACTGGAGTGGTTTGCCATTTCCTTCTCCAGCTCATTTTACAGATGAGGAAACTGAGGCAAACAGGGTTAAGTGACTTGCCCAGGGTCACACAGCTAGTAAGTGTCTGAGACCAGATTTGCTGATTTCCTGACTGCTGATTTCCCAATGTTCTATCCACTGCATCACCTAGCTGCCCCCCTTAGAGTATGCTTACCTATTTACATGTCTTATTTCCCTAATAGAATGTGTGTTCTTTGTGGGCAGGGACTATTTTAAGTTTCACCTTTGTAACCACAGTAGCTAAAACAATGCCTGACACATAGTAGGCACTTACATGCTTACTGCATTGGATTAGTTGACTTGGATACTCTTACCCCCTTTCCCTACCCAATGAACCAATCTCCTAAGCACCTCCTAGATGGATTCACACTTATGTGAAGTGGATAGGGTACTAAGCCTGGAGTCAGGAAGACCTGAGTTCAAATCCAGCACCAGTCACTTAGTAACTGTGACATTGAGCTATTTACCTCAATTTCCTGAAGCATAAAATGAGGATAATAACAGCACCTTCCTCCTAGGGTTCTTGTGAGGATCAGATGAGATGTTTGTAAAGTGTTTGGTATAGCTTCATGCACTTAGAAGGTGATTAATAAGTGTGATTCCTTCCTTCCTAATAGGATCTGTCTTACCAGGATTAGTCTAGACAAGAGTGGGGCAGACATCTCAGTGTAGGTCAGTTCTGTATACCTGGAACCATTCCATTTCTGGAACCAAACCAGAGGGTTGAGACTCATATGAGGATATGCTCGATGAAAAACTGCCCTTGAAATCTCATAATCTCTGAAATTTCATTTATATTGAATCTCATTACTTTCTAACAGAAACAAGATCATCCATACAACTTTTATCAATAATTAAGAAATGCTCCACATTCACTGACAGTCTCTTCTTGAATAACTAAAAGTTATCATTACATCCTCTAAAAACTTGGGACCTATAAAGAGGACATAAGTCACGTGCACCTGAGCTTAAGGAAAGGAGCTACAATCTTGGCTGAAAGGTTTTATTGCTGGTAAACTTGATGCTTGAAAGTGCTTTTTTTAGGTTTTAGAGACTGCTCCATGGAATTGTACTATTGCCCCTTTGTGATGTTCCTTGAAGTCTTTCAGGCTAATGTATCAGGCCCTGATCAAAATTATCTCTGGTATGAGTCTGGTGTAGAGGTGCATTCTTTTTTTTTTTTTTTCAGCCAAAGACTGGGTTTATTAGAACATCAGTCATATTGGCCACTCTTAAGGAGTCTAAACATTAGTGAGCTATTGGCTAGATTATAAGAATCTAAGCAGTGGCTAGATTTTAAGAATCTAAGCACCTTAAATGGTGATAAGATGGACCTTATGTACAGAAAAACTGTGGGAGGGATCTAGGAATGACCAAGTAGTTTGGGGTGACCGGAGGAGGGGTCTAAGGAGGATCTGGACGGGAGTGGCCAGTAAGCTGGAGTTAACAGAATTACTGGGACCCGGACCACTTGGCCAAGGAAGAATGGAGCCTAGCTAGGAAATGGGGGAAGGGGGCATAGGGAGGTAAGAAAATGGAGGGCCAGGCTAGGTGAAGGGTAACAGAGATCAGATATAGCCACAATGAAAGGCCAGTTGATGGGATTATAGCCTCAGGTGAACTCCAGAGATTTGACCTTGTGGGAAAGTCCAGGGTTTTTCCTTTCTGGGGTCCAGATCCCAACCTAAAGGTGCATTCTTTAGAGCCAATGTCTGTCTAAATGGAATTCCTTTCTCATCCTAGGCTTGTGCCTGACCTGGAGTAGACATGGGAGGTTGGGGGAGAAGGAATTAGCCTGACCATGTTTCCTTTTTGTGTATGCCTTACTACCAGGGTACTCTTAGTTTATGTCCCCTCTTCCCACCGATGTGTATATTTATGGGAAAGTGCACCCCAGATTTATGGGGGGGATGATTTATAGCTATGGTTCTTACAATACCATCTCAGTCAATGCCTTTGTATTGAACTGTCTGATGATTAAAGGTCAGGTGGGGACTTAGGAGCTAAGATTGTAAGAGCAGGGACCAGGTTACCTTTGAACCTAGGGGCAGTGACCTCCGACTAGAGTGATAGCCCAGAGAGGGTTTTGGGTTTACTTAAATCTGTTAGTTAGTGTTGTTTCTTTAAGGACTGTTTCATTGTTAATTTTGTATCTCCAGCAACTGGCTTGGTGTTTCTCCTGCGTACACCCTCTATCAGTCAGTGTTTATTACGCACCTACTATGCACCAGGCATTATGCTAGGGGGGGGGGGGGTGTTACAAAAAAGACTGTCTACAGTCTAAGAGGAGGGAAAACATGCAATCAAATATGTATGAAGCAAGCTATCTACAGGATATGCAGGAAATAATGAACGAGGGAAAACACTGGAGTTAGAGCAGTTAGGGAAGGCTTCCTACGAAAGATGGAATGGGATTCCAGGAAGGTCAGTGGGCAGAGTTAAGGAGTGAGAGCATTCCAGACATAGGGACGGCCAGAGAAAATGCTGGGAGCTGAGAGGGGGATGGTCTTGCTCATAGAACAACCAAGAGGTCAGTCAGGGTCACTGAATAATAAATGCTTTTTGAGTGAGTGAAGGAACCTGGGTTCCATTCCTCTCTCAGACTGTTCCTAGCTATACCTCTCTAAGCATCAGCTTCCCTATCTGCAAAATGGGGAGAATAGCAGCACCTAACCTTTCAGTTAATTATTTTCTTTTCAGGAAAAACATGTATGACCAGTGACCCATCAAGCCTAGAAGGGTGTTTGGTTGTTTTTTGTTTTGTTTGACTTTTCAAATGTTTGGAAGTTGCTATATAGTTGTGAAGATTAAATGATCGAATGTACAGAAAGTGCTTTTCGGACCTCTCTAAATGTGAATTACATGCACTTTTAGGAAGGGGACAAACAAGTAGAGAAATTATCCTTTTTCTAAACTTCATGATCTTTTATTTTTTCCCAATTACATGTAAAAATCATTTTTAACATTTTTTTAAAATTTTGAGCTTCAAATTTTTTCCAT